TATAATGAATTATTGTAGTAGTACATATATGACACGTATATGTTACGGCCAATCCCGGGAGTCGGCCATGCCAGGGAACGCCCGGTCATTCCAGGGAACGCCCGGTCTTTCCCGGGAACGCCCGGCCATTCCCGGGAATGATTTATTAGTTTGCCCGGTCATTATGGTCATCGTGCCAAATAGTATAATCTATATATATAATCCGAGACAGAACTATAATTTATTGATCTTTCATTTCTTTATCAAGTGAGAAACGATCCGATGTTTTATTTTGCCACAATTGATGTGCACTTTCTTGTTTCTATACCTAATTTTTATTCTTTTATTATTCTTTAAACTCAGTATTTTAGTGCTATAAAGGAAAGATTCATTCATCCTGCATAAATTGTAACTGAAAAGTAACCAGAAACGGCTGACTAAATACAAGTAGAATACGTGGATGAGATAACATGCAATAAGTTATAATGCAAAACTGTTCAGGTATTGAAGCAAAGGTAGCAAATAACGTAGGAGATTGGCTAACTGCGTAATATTGTTCCAAAAAGGTATGTAAAAGTGGCTATTAGTGAAAATGATGATTATGACAAATAAAAAGACTTTTCTATTGTATTGAATGACTTGCTGTATTACGATGTTGAAAACTCACCTTAACAAAGATAAAGATAGAGCCAAGTTAACTTTAGGCTTATCCTATTAATACGAGTATAAATAAAACAACTCCGTTGGTCTACTCTAAGTCAGAAACTGCGCACTTCCTTACCATAAATACGGAGAACAAAGTTTTCTCGCGTTTATAATTGTCTTCGTTCAATGATAAAATGTTGCATTTCAATTTAATATTTACGTACCACAAACAATAAGCCTACTTTCGAAAACCTCCCTTCATATTAGCACCTAAAAAGGTAACTTTGTCATAATCGAAATAATTCTACCGGGCAGCATTAAAATATCAATATGCGAGTACGTTGGAATAGCCTGCTGTTTATTTATTTATTGTCATCACTTTATAGATTCAGCACTTTAACCTTCTAGAACGATAAGAAACAATCAGTATATTAAATTTTTATAACAGTAAAGAGAATTACATGGTTAAAGATTTTGCCTTATAAGTTATTCGTTGTTAGCTTAATAATATCACGCTTTTGTTATTAAATGGTTTCAGAGTACTGTATTTCAGTGATATATATTTATAGCACAAAATTGTTAACATCGATTAGAAACGTCCTTTATTTCCTTTATATAAATTACCTTGACTTTCAATCCTACGTGTATATTATTGTACAAAAATGGACGCCTAGTGGAACTTTTTCATCAATAATCGAACCATTGATATGTACGAGTTACAAAATAACACCTCCAACTAATATTGACTATACTAGAACTGTAATTAGAATTGAGTTATTGTGAATTCGGTAGGGTGAAAAATTCAAATTATCAAGTTAAAGGATCTATAATATCTCTATGTACGATATTTGTTGTATACGTGCATCGTAGTAATAGACTTTAATGGCCGAATAGAAATGGAAATCGAGGAAAGAAATAAGCACAAGTTGTCCAACAGTTTAGGAAATATTGGAAGTCTCGAGATTTCATTTTAATTAATTGATTGATGAGTTTGTAGCTCTTGACCGATAATAATTAGTTATTGCTGTTATAGTACAATATAACGTAACCATTATGGTGAGAGAAAAACTCAACCCATCCATCTTTTGCGTTGTCCTTCATTTTGAATTGTTTTGATATTTTTTAGTGTATTAATTTATGTTATCGCTTTCTATTGTATTCGAGCCGATCGCTGGATGTTTTCTATGTAAATTTCTCAATCTTCTATTTTAGTCCGTTATACCCTCAATAGCTAAATCATATTTTTATCATGGAATGCCTCTAACACTTTCTTGTATTGCTTGTAGGAAAAATAATTTTCCCATATTTATAATTATTTAGACTCTGATATAGGATCATGATTATTTTTTATTTATTTTTCATTTTCCATTTATATCTTTATTTTTTTATTTTTGCCAGGAGCGAATTGGTAACTATGTGCTGTAGACATTGTTGAATTTGATCATCACCATGTTGTAGGTATTGTTCATTCTTACTTAGAATTAATGACAAACTGTTCAAAAAAATAGCCGACAATTAAAGCCATTAATAATGGGCCGACAAAATTTGTGGAAGAAATTTTTTTCGATATTTCAGTAATTGTCACCTTATTGAAATCAACTTGTATTGTTGGATCAAATGGTATTAATTAATATCATAGTCGAGTAATCGATCATTGGTGTCTCAAGTTTATTTATAATTGTTATTAATATTATTATCATTTTTAATAATATTATTATTGTTATTATTATCATCATCGTCGATGATTATTGTTATTCATTGTCAAGCATTCATTTTTCCATTTGATATGGATTTCCTCTCTTGTCGTATTGAAATTGTATATAGTTAATCAGTATTCTCTCCACCCCTCCCTTTCCTATTTGATTCAAATTAGTTCAAGAGAGATAGTCTATCCTTGTACACATATGTATCACTCAATCACACATTATAAAGGCTAGATTGAAAATTGGATAGTAAATTAGAAATTGCAATTGAATAGAACATGAACAATCGACATGATTGCATTGCAGTCTTTTTATATCACTTTATTGATATTGTATGCCGCTGATGGCAATATATGGATTTTCATCCGGCGTTTTTTTCGTACTTCGCCCATCTTCACTTCTCCACTGACCATACTGTAGAATTATTTAAACGTGAAACAGTAATATTAAAACTTGCTATTAATTACTATTTTAACAATCTATTTTGCAGTATTCATGCATCCAATCAACTCTACCTTGAGTGAAATTACTTTTCTTAAAACAGTAAAGAAATATTGATTCAAGACTACGCTATCGTCTTTATTTGTAAAATAAAAGTTATTTCAAGACTTTACAATATCAATCGAAAAACGAATCATCGAAAATAAGGTAATCTAGATGTAAGACAAACTAGAACATTTCCGTGGATATTGACGATTTTATCATTTTGATACCAAAATCAAAATTGTCATCGATAATAAGCTGCTATTCTTAATTTCTTATTTGTAATTCATTTTTTTAGAGGTTATCATCATCTTGTCATCATCAACGAGTTTAAAAATCCCAGCAACCAAGTCGTCTAACTCTACCATTATTATAACACAATTAATTATCTTGTTTCTGCCATTAAGTACTCTATAACACTAGCTAGAGGATATCAAAAGGAAGAAAAACGAAATCTCTTTTCTACCTCTCAATTAAGTATGAAATTGCCAACTGAGCGATATCTTTCAAAATTGCTATAAACTAGCTTAAAAAAACCTTGAAGCATTAAAATATAGAAAACGTAATATAAACTGATCGTTCTACTAGTCAATTAGCGAATGATTCTATATGTCTATGCAATCCTCCCTGGGGAAAATTAACTTCGAAATTTGTCAAGCCAGACGTAAGTTTATGAATTATTACAGGTACATATGCTAATAAACTACACTCACATCTGTTTCAAAAAGGTATATTTAGATAACGATATTGTAAAAAGAAGTGAAAACACTGCCAAAGAGTTCTTATGATAAAGTACAGTCCTGTATTATATCAGCACGCTAGTTAATATGCGTACAGTAATATCTTTTCATTTAGCGCTAATGATAAAAAAAAGCATCCGGTATAAAATCGAACTATCATAAAAATAAGTTTATCTCTACATTTTACTTTAAAATTTTGAAACCTCACGAGTCAGTCATTAACTATTACAAATACTTCAAAGCCCTTTTTTTAATTACTTCTGTATTCTACTCTTTCGACATCCTGTTCAGAATTCATTCAGATATTCATTCTGATAATTATAATCGTTTGGGATACCCCAAATTATTAACAATAAAATATTCAACGAATGTTCTTCTCTATAATAATATCCAATTCTAATTTGTATTCTATTCAAATGAGATCAGGTTTAATCCTTTAACATAATCGAAGATTAAAAAGGATAGGTATAGAATCATATAAGTAAACTTATCTATTTATTATTGTGACTGTAACCGACTCAGATACATACCATCGTATTCTCTTCTGATATTTATGTTTTACATTTATTTTTAAAATTGATTACTCATTTTGGAATATGTTTTAGGCTTTTATTGGCAATATTTACTATTTCAGAAAAGAATCCAAAGGAAAATACTGTAAAAAGAGAAAGAAGTTAATCTGCATCTACTATTTTTTGAATATTTACGTCGATTCAATTAAAATTCTAACATCCAATTAAGTTAACAATAAGTGAAAGAAAACATCAAACAACTGCAACATCACATCGATTGGATACATTCATGTATCGATTCTGAAATTACTTGGCTTGAGTAAATTCTCTTATCAATTTCATCTATCTCAGTATCTTTGTTAGTCTACAGCATAATCCATTGAGATATTATCTTATAGATTGATTTTTTGTGCTAACTATCCAACTGCTAACTAAAATATCGTACCTGATACATTTTTAAGCCCGACACCATGACGATTTTATGGCCTAAGAGAGCAATAGATAGCAATAATCGACAAAAAAAAATGAATAGCCTTGTTGCATTTACCGGGATAAAAATTATTCTAATCTGGATAATTGTAAACTTCTCTGTTTGTCGTAGTGATGTACCGGTATATAATATAGGCTATCTCGGTCCATATAATTATACACCAAGAGCTGGATTATTTGGTGCCATTGATATTGCAGGCGCTGTAACTTTAGCCGTATCTGAAATTAATAACAGTTCAATATTATTGCCAAATGCTACATTAAAATTTCATTACTTCGATACTAAATGTAACCCGAAAAGTAGTTTAGATGCCACCGTGGTTTTAGTCCAGAAACACGACGTAATTGCCTTTATTGGACCTGCATGTTCACCTGGTTGTCAAAGTGCAGGTCTATTAGCATCAGAATGGAATTTACCAATGATATCTTACGTATCGACATCGCCAGCTATGTCTGATCATACTACTTACAATACATTCGTCCGTACAAATGGACCTCTATCACAACAAGCAGATGCATTTTTCGCTATCATGCAAAATTTTGCTTGGGGTCAGTTTTCACTAATATGCAATCGTGCCGAAAATCGTTTTATTTGGAGCACCTTATGTGAATTAATAACAGAAAAATCGCGTCTACAGAACAATCGCCATAACATTGCTTCAAATAAGGATTACGATCTCACCATGGCCACCGACGATCAGATGACGTCGTTATTACAGGAGTTGCAAACAAATTCACGAAGTAAGTCACTAGAAAAAATTTTATTCCTACTATTCTTGCTATCCAATTGCACTATGAATAAGTATAGAATAAATCTTACGTTTTATTAGACCCACTTACAAGGCCTAAACATCGTTAGCTCAGCAGTTTTTGAATTTTATAATCGTAAAATCTAATCTACGCATAGTTTATAAAACTTAAATCACAACCAAATACCCTCAAGATCTAAGTGTACATACATCTATGTAAACACCAACAGAATATCATCTTCTCCAACTCATGGATATGTTAATTGCTTTTAAATAGTTTCAATATCAGTTCTTTCAATGGTATCATAAAGTAAGCTGTAGTTATTATGTGATGTCTACGGAAATCGTGTAGGTTAAAAATTCGACCCGGGTTAAGATAGCTCGAAAAGAATGATAAGCGGATAAATAGATTTGTACTGAAATATCTGCATTGAAGTTATCAATTTTCATAACTCGATAGAGGCCTTAAGTGCGTAGACAGTATCCATAAAAATAGTCCTGTGCATTTAGTAAACTAGCCAAAAGTAGTCAAGCTTTACAGCTCACTGTGTAAGTACTGTATATAGAGATGATGCATAATCGTTCAGGATGAAAGAAAATTTGCTCTTATTCATTAATTATTTGACTTTAAAAGTCGCCAGATTACCCGTCAAATATCAAAATGTAGGCTAAATATTAATTCAGTCGACACTTTTTACCACTACATCTGGTGTTGCAGATAGTGTTACTATTTCAATTTTATTTTACATCCTACAGCTCCTAAGAATATAATATAATTGTCAAATTTTAAACATAGTTTTACAGTGATCAAGACCATCTCAAAGGAAGTACTTTAATAATTAAAATATTGGATCACTTCCTTGCGTTTTTATGGCGTGCTATTATAGATTAGAAATAGGACTATGTATTATGACAGCAGTGAATAGTAAATGATGAACAATACACCTCACGTATGTATATTAAACATTTATCGGCAAGATCTTGCTCGGTATACACAGAAAAGCGGAGACAACTAATCATTTATGATAAGAATAGAAAACAATTACAGCATACCCACAAGAATTAACTTAACTACTTTAATGAAAGAAGCTAAAATTTTGAATGAAGGGTAATAATTTGATGGGCTACAATATAATTTAGATTGTTACTTATGTGACGTCGTTCACCCCAAAAATATGGATAGTATTCAGACTTGGTCGGTCTACTTAGTAAAAATAATTTATCAAGTTTTACATAAGCTTGCTAATTGAAGCCAAATTGGACGAGGTCAGTGCAAGTTTCAAACGATATTTATCTAGGAAATTATTTAATTGTATTGGAAAAATTTAGTCAGATATAGATAGTTATATTGGCACGACGTTAATATCGAGAATTAATAAATTAATAAGTACTAAATCCACACGAAGCAATAATTAATTTAGTAAGGCTGATCTGTATAAATTATATCTTCAAGGTAGCATAAGAAGGCAAACTAAAGTAGAATATAGCAGACATTATTGATCTTCATCAACAATTATAATAGACTGAAATTTAATTTTCGCTTTTATGTACCGTATGAATTGATCGGTCATTGATATTGATCAGTGAAACCTTTTCATATGACTGAAGGAAAAGATCTTGAAGAATTTCATTCTTATAAAATTAAAAGAATTGATTAGAAGCTTTCATGACTGATAAATTTAATTTATCGCGCGCTCTTATTAATTTGCGAGTGCGTGTTTAATATTTCGAAATTATTGAAGCTTAATTATTAGATACAATATATATTATTTATGTAGGCCAGAATACTATAGATCAGTTATAATAGAAAAGGTGATGCCTATAAGTAAACTGATATTTATCATTTACGAATCCTGAAAGGGATTTACTAATATCGTATGGCTAGCAATAGTTTACAAAGGTTGATACGGCCTTGAACGATATTAGCTACAGCTATTACTCAAAATACAATGTAGTTCACGAACAAGAATCGAAAGTATATTTAAATTAATTATATAACTGCATTTAATCAAATATGTATATCACACAGACATAACCCCTTAATATATGCGGTATTTACGATACAGTATTAATTACTGTAATTCTGCAATATACCTTTCGTACCAAGATTTTATTTTATCCTATAATAATGTAATTTTATACACGAATGAATGAACAAAGATCTTTACATTAACTGCATAGACTATTGGAAAACTGAATTAGTTGAATGTTAATCCTAAGCTTCCGGTTCTTAGAATAAATAAGCAGGCTATGTTTTGGTTATTAATGAGTTTATCTTATCTAATTAATCGAAATTAATGATGAAACTCTTTTATTAATCTGTAAGAACCGTTAGTAATATGAAGGAATCGAATTTGGAAAAGCAACTAAATGTAGAAGACTTAATCTTCTACGGTTAGAAAACTCCATCAGTCCTAAATAGGGTTAATATACTCCTGTCCGTTATCTAATGCATTATGATTTGCAATTAATTTCATTGACTAAGGAGAATTTGGAAACACGCGTAGAAAGTAAAGTTTCGTGAAGCTCCTCTCATCATAAGAGCGATTTCTAATAATTCCATCTCATATGCTAACTAAATAAATACGAAGCATGGCAAAATCATTTTTACTAACGATTTGGTTAAAAAAAAATCCATAATTTGATCCTTTACCGTATAATGTCGTACTAGACTATCGTGATCTAATTGGATTTTTTCCGGTTAAAGCTTGTTACATTTATGTTATTAAATGAATAATGACTGTAATAATATTTAAACTAATTTACTAAAATGAGCTTAATTTGGTCATTATACATGCTCATCTACTGTAACACTACCACTGCTTAAAATCAACACTTACGATAAAAAAATCTTAATAGAAAGATGAATGACTTTCAGAGAAAGATTTAGGTAAAGAAGTGGCGACAGCTAGTATATAAAATAATATCTTTTCATATTGAAAAAGATGTATTTAATTATCTTCCCTATTATTTCATCAATTTTCTTTTGACTTATTTGATATAGCAACAAATTCGTCAACATATTTGATACTAGACTAATTAATGTATTTAGTTAACAAGTATACAGAATTAAATAATGATATTGCAAGTAGCCATATGCAGATTGAAATTGGATATTTCAGACTATGTATATTTACAATCGGATTATAACAATGGATGAAGGCGGAGTTTTGTATGCAGTAATTAATTATCAAAATTCATCTAAAAGTTGTTGATTACACGTTTGTATCATAAAAACCTTGGTAAAGCTATGTAAAATCAACAACCATCTTAAATGTTACCAAGGTGCATAAACAGATTTTTCAGTCATAAGTGCAATACTCTTAATCAGTTTCTTGAAAATATTTAAATTGTGTACGGCAACAATTATAATCTTAACATTTATAAACGTTTACTCCTATATAAGCATCATAAAAGTCGCGATTTTGCTAAATTTTGTTCCTAGCCTCGCAATTAGTATCGGGTAGAATTATGAAAAAAGTTTTATAAATCATTTTTTTATGATTAACGGAATGGACGACATTTTGACGTCGAAAAATCTCTAAAATCCCATCTTGATGTGTCAATAAAAATAGCAAATGCATTTGGCTTTAGCTATAAGTAATTTAAAATGTACGTATTAGCCTTTTCTGATTAAATATGGTCGTTTTATAAATCGCGAAGATTCCAAGTATGCTAAACATTTTCTCGTTCATAAAATCAATTATATCACTATATATCACGTTTATACATACATAATTAATGAAGTATTTTATTAAGTGACGCCGATATTGCATTATTTATAGCATATGTTATATTTATTTTTATTCAATACTTTCATCGATTAAATTTTCTTGTTTATTTTTTAACTGCTTAGCTGGTATTATTTAAAGGGATAAATGTTATACTAATTCATAAGGGCTATTTTCATACTATGGAGTTAGCAAACAACACTATGTGAAGCTAACGACATAAGCTACCGTAAGATATTCTATTGGCTTTGAGTGCCATATCATCACACGCCATAGCTAATCCATCACATAATCGAAAAATTTATTGATATTTATTAAAAGAAATAAAGCTAAAACCGAATTGCCCACTGGTATTCTCGTATAAATTATAATTAGGCACTTTTAGTAATATGGCAGTTAATACGTTAATCTATACCAGGCCTTCAAGCCGATTATGTAAAGCCAATAATTATGAAAATTAGTAGACTGTATTATTTTAACACTTTAATTGTCGGATTCGCGTAGATTTTTCTCAGAAAGGTTAAAGAATCAAATTTTTATATTTCGTAACTAAATGATAAGACATTTTGGCAAGATTAATTGAGGTAGTGTATCATATCCAAATCCGAGTGATGATTGGTAGTCGAACTTTGATCGACAAACGAATTGTATTATTAGATTTTTATTGCAATTTTAATGCTAAATATGATCATTAAATTTTTTATTAGCAAATATAAGTACTATGTATCGTTCTCGCGATGAATAGTTGTATCACAATTATCGTATATTATTGCAATTTAAGCCTGCAAAATGTTATTTGTTTACACAATTATAGTTATAGTAGTTATTGCTGATACAAAGTACTTGCGAAGATTGATGCTAGTGGCAGCAAAGCTGGATATGACCCAAGGCAAATATGCTTTCATAACCTTTGAAGCAAATCCAGGATTAAGTTTTCAACGCACGGCTTGGAAAAATCCAAATGATCCAGGAAATGATGATACTGCTTTTCTAGCTTATCATAATGTCTTCTTTATCAGCGTTAAAGCCAAACACAGTAGCAACTTCCCCGACTTCGATGATAAAGTGCGTCAAAGTATGCGGCTGCCACCATTTAACATTGATTTAAGACAGGTAAGCCAAGTCCAAGATTACAGATCTGGTTAATATCATTTTTAATCTAGTATGTTATGATCTTTACGCTATCTTAACATAATGATAATAGTAGCGAAATGTTATTGTGATATATACCAATCACGAAATTCCAAATTTTAGAAAAATAAGGGCTTTATTGAATCTTATACAAAGATTAACTACACACAACTCTACTCTAGCCGAATACTACTACTAAAGACTTCTAGAACGAACTAACAGAATAATCTAAAGTTGCATACTTTTATACTTTTTGTAGCATTCGCAGCTACAATCCGCATGGCAAACTTTTACCTTATTTTACACATAGTTAAATTATTCTTAGTAAGACTATTCTACTGCGGATCATCATTAATCCAATATGGATACGACTACAGTACTTACGTAGACATTATTCACACCAGCCAAAGTACAATGAATTAACCATATCCTAATATATGATTTAGTTTCTATTTTTACCTATAACCTTATTAGTAACTCAACACCTTACTGTATATAGTCATCTGTACTCTAGCATAGAGTCTATACCACTACATTCTATAGTTATGGCTACCAAATATCTCTTAGGATAAATATCTACCGTACATTATAATAAACATGGCTAACAGTCTACAATCACAATACTAAGTTACAGTACAGTTATGTAATCATCATAGTCTGATATTTTCATAATTCAGCGCAATAATCATAAGAAAATTAAGTTTGATACTGTAGTGAAAATTAAACATCGAATAACGCTAAAAGACGAGTATTTTTTATTATTTTATTGGATCCTGACTATCTAGGATCCTATAGAAAAATTTATATATCGTGTTAGTAGTGTGCTTAACAACAAGGTTACTGTTCATACAGTTCTTCATGAAATAATTTTTATTACTACTATCATATAGAACATAATTATGAAAGACTACTTCAGCAGAATAGTTTTTTACCTCGACTCTTATAATTACAATACCATACCCATTAATAAATGGAGAAAAATAGAAAGATATTGTAGTTAAATGTAATTGGTAATTACCTCCTTTGCACTATTTCAGTTTAAATAAATCACTACTATCATTCCCTTTTATAAATAGCTGCTAGCACACTTTTATTACATCGGATTATTGTGATCAAAATTTATGATATGTGTGAAATAGCTAGCACACTTTTTTCCGTACCTATTTTATATTATATTATTTGCTGGTCTTTATGTATTACATAATGTGTGAATTCGCACTGTATATGAAGGACTAAAAGTTAACGATGGAAGACTAATCATATATTATGAACTCTTGTCATGATCACGCCGAATATTTTATTAATATATAGTTATACAATTGTTTACTTACTAGTCAGATGTAAAGACTATAAAATATTGCATTTCATCAAAGTCTAGCTAGCTTTTAGCAGTATTTATTTCATTATTTTATGCTATGATATCAAGTCGTAGTTATTGATTTTTTTATACTATTTAATGATTACTACTGTTTATGAAACTAACTATAATGACATCTTATACGGTATTATTAGAAACCAGTTGGACTTTACGCTTCTTTCCTGTACGATGCAGTCAGTTTGTATGCACATGGATTAAATAAAACTTTAAGCCAAGGTGGTAATCCGAAAAATGGTACACTAATCACTAAAAATATGATTAGCACTTCCTTCGAAGGTACCATCATCTAAACCAATATATCATAGTATTACAAATTTGTACTCGTATGTACTTGCCAGTGCATGGCCATCAAAATTGTCGTATAGTATTGTGCTACATTCACATAACTACTCCTTGATTTTGTTGCTATATAATATACCAATACAATGTATTTTTGTCATAGGTGCCTCTGGTAGAGTAACTTTAAATAAAGATGGCGATCGAATATTAATATACGACTTTAGTTACTTAAATCCTACATCGAAACAATACGAAGTAGCTATCGTATACGATGGTCGAAATATAAGTCATACCAATTATTCTATCCCATGGCCTGGTGGCAAAATACCACTTGATGGACCAGAGTGTGGATTTGATGGATCGAAGTGTTTATATACAAATGTCATATTAGGTTTGTAATATAAAATAGAACTTATGTTTTTGTAAGTATTATGCTACCGCCTTTCAAGTACAGCAAATCTTTTGTAACTATATGAGGATACTATCTTGACGTTAGTTAAGTGATGAAATTTTTTGGATGTCGAACAATATGCTTAAAATAATAGCTTTCTCTTATTATATCTTACTAGTCACCATAACTAGTGTGGTATGCTGTGTCACAATAACAATTGTAGTGGTTGGCATCTATCTTTATAGGTAAGATTTAGTTGCAACTAAGTATAAATTGAAATGATTATCATTAAGTATATAAATTTAATATTTATGTTTTACCATCCAGTAGCATTCATGTGTTCGTTCATTTTGAAAGTTTTTAGTATCTTTAGCCTAGATTAGTTTGCTTTTATAGATTTCAATTCTAAGTTGCACAATTCTATTAAAAATCGCTATTCGCAATAGAAAACTTAGATTTGAAGCTCGCATCACTAATATGTCTTGGAAGATTGATATGAAAGATGTTTTGATTATACAACAGGTTAGTTATTTATGGATAAAACCATAACAGTTTAAATTAAGAAATTCCGGTAATCATTCTTGTGATATTCAAATAGATCATAACTTAATTGATATTTAACTGAAATTGATAAAATTATAAGGTCAATTTTTATTTCAGAACGATATGCAAAATAATTCACAATTCAGCATTTTAGAACCTATCGATCTTGCACATTTAGTAAGTATAATTGAAATAGGTCATCTTACCTAAAGTATAAATGGTTTTAGCTACATATCTTGGTTGTTACTACCAAGTAGAGTGATTAGATCGCGTTGACGATGCTTAGCGGCAGTGGGAGTGATATCTAATTCAATATTTTTATTATACATATTTTACATTTGTATACAATGACACAGAATACCTTCATTCGATGTTTCCTTATCAATTAATATTTTAGCTACGTATGTATTGCTAATAATTACGGACTCCCTATATGTGTTATGGTTAACCTGCGAATGGCATTATGAAGAATCAGTATCTTCTGCCTTAATAGCTAAATAATAATATACATGTGTAAAAGTGTATAGTGTTTATATTAATTGATTACGAAAACTTTAGAAAGCGGAAAATGGATTTAAGAATGGATCGACCTTTTCCGTGGATATACAGACCAATGATTCTGTTTCTATGCGTAAGACTATCCAAAATCACTATTTTACCGATGTGGCATTATTCAAGGTAAAATGACCTAAAACTTTACGAACATAAATTTAGCCTTTAGCATCATTTTTAGTTTAGCCTATTTTAGCTTGATTCTAAACTTATTACCGACTTAAGTGCTTATAACAATGATTGTTTTATAAGTATCTTCTGTACTTTAATTAATTAGGGAAGTCGTTTCGCTATCAAAAAATTCGCTTTCGCAAAGAAATTTGAATTCAGTAGACTTGTACTACTAGAATTTCATCAGGTATGTTAATATCTTGATTTGTCTAACACAGTAAATGGTAATTTAAAATTTCATAATCGTTTATTTTAGTAAATTGAAAAAGATATAAGACAATTAATTCACCGTTAAATAATCAAATCACGTTATGTTAGCTTTGGAGCTTGGATTATTTTTATTAGTAATTTAATTTTTATAAGGCAATGTGTTGATACAGTACTAATTAGATGTCAGTAGCCTCTGTCAGCTGTTAAAAACCTTTATCAATATACATATCTGTAGAATAAGTATTTTTCTTTACTTCAAGCGAATACTTTATTTTGAAATTGTAATCTCTTCGTTGATCCATTGAAGCCTTTTACATATCACCCATGTAGTCTAATCTTTTTCTAGTACAGACAAATATATGTATTAGTTTCACTGTAGATATCGTAAGCTCTTATCATCCTAATGTTACCATGCCATATATAATAATTTATGATATTAAGAACTATGCAGGTCATATTTAACACTACGTTTACTGTTTAATTACCATTTTAGTTAAGTAATATTCATAACGATAACCTAAATCCTTTCATTGGTGCTGCCATACAAGATAACGATATTTACATTTTAACAAATTATTGTCCTCGTGGAAGCTTACAGGTAACAAAAAGCCTTTATTTAATCTTTGACTATTGCTATCAATTAAGTTTCAATTAAAATTATCAAACCGGCAATATTGTTCAGAAATTAATCCATTACTTACTGTAAAAGGATGTTCTAAAGAGCGAAAATAATGAATTGGACATAGTCTTTAAGTTATCTTTTGCCTATGATATCATCAAGGTAAATTATATTTTTATTATCTTTTATGAAAAAAATTGCTACTTTTGAAGGCAATTTATAGGCGTATAAAAGGATATAAATTTCATTTTAATCCCTGAGTGAGATTTATTAATATATTCATTTAATAACCACTCCAGGGTATGATCCATATTCATTCAAGTGACATCAAATACCATGGTAATCTAAAATCTTCTAATTGCCTTGTGGATGGACGTTGGACAGTTAAACTAACCGACTTTGGCATGCCTTCATTACGACGTGCTGTGAAAATACCGTTCAATCAGACTGACCCAAGTATAGAACTCAATTACGCTAGTAAGAATTATTTCAACTAGAATCAGTAGAACTATCAATTGGTCAACATATTAGAATAGCTTATACTTTAATCTCTATTTCTGCTTATGCCTACGTTGTTACTTATAGACTTATAGTTAAAAGTACTCACAAATGTTCAAGTCGTCATTATACTATATCTGACTTATTGTTATACATGGACTCGAATAGATTGTATTACGCTAATTTATAACTTTTAGAATTGTTACTATCAGGTCTCAAAAATTTGCGTTTATATTAGATGCATTCTGGACAGCACCAGAACTTTTACGATTGTCAGGAGATAGAATAGCTGGGACTCAAATGGGAGATGTATACAGTTTTGGTATTGTATGGTCTGAAATTATGACACGCAAGCTTCCTTATATCGATTTCTCTTTAGATGCAAAAAGTAATACGATGTATTCATCATTTTTTGGCATACATCTTAAAAATGATATCATTGATTGCAAGATAGTTCAGTACATTTTATTCTAATATTAATGTTTCACAGCATGCATTGCTAAAGTTAAAAGGAATTTTTATAAGAATTTACGGTACCATATTTACTCTTATTGATTTTAGCGACGAATTCTACTGTACTGATTCTTAAAATTATAACTTAAGACCAAGTGAATTAATCAATAAACAAGATAATTCATTCTCAATCTCTGATTGAATTCAGGCATTGTAGAAATGGTAAAACTGGGCTACGTAAACCCTCCGTTAAGACCAGACATCAACGATATTGATTGTCCGGATGAAATTAAAACAATTATCTGTACCTGTTGGGATGAGATCCCCCAAATGCGACCTACATTCTCGGTAATCAAGAAAAAATTGAAATCGTCGTCCTATGGAAAGTAAGTTCAACAGATTACTTCGTTCTGCTACTGCGCATAATGTTATATTTGTCTTAAAATACTCAGCTATCCTTCTTGATAAGAACGTTACTTATTAAGTTATAATTTATAACTATACCATTCTGCACTTAGGGATACTGATATATTAGATAATGTTGTCGCACTACTCGAAAAGTATGCTAACCATCTTGAAGATTTGGTTGAAGAAAGAACCAATGAGTTAATTGAAGAGAAGAAAAAAACCGACGATCTATTGTATCGAATGCTTCCTAAGTATGATTTAATTGTAATATACTGTCGAAGATAACTTACTGTAGATATTTTATAATAGATTTCTTTTCTACGTGCTATAATATATATCCTTATTTGCAAAAGACAAGTAGCAGAGCAACTAAAAAAAGGTGAAACAGTTACAGCTGAATTATACCAGGAAGTTACCATATATTTTAGCGATATTGTTGGATTTACCAAGCTTTCTGCGAAAAGTACACCTATGCAGGTAATTTTCTTGCCATAATCAATAATTTGTTGTAGTATAGTCTTATTAGATCCAGAATTAGCATAGATTAACGAACAATATCTGAATGATTGCGTAAACCTATTAGAGAGAGGATACTTAACGTTACCAAAACGTCATTGCAGGTTGTAAATTTGTTGAATGATCTATACTCCCTCTTTGATAGTATTATTGTTGGCTACGATGTGTATAAGGTATGTTTAGTATAGTTACTGTATTAATTATGATCAACGTTGATCTCTGACGATATTCGGTATCATTTTTTGCTTCTTCTAGGTTGAAACAATTGGCGATGCGTATATGGTAGCGTCGGGCTTACCAGTCAAAAATGGTAAACTACACGCCAAAGAAATTGCTGATATGGCAGTTTTAATACTAGATTCAGTAAGTCGCTTTAGTATCAGGCACATGCCGAATGAAAGCCTTAGACTTCGAATTGGAATTCACAGCGGTAAGAATATCGTGTTAGACTTATGAAAAATTTTTATATCATTTCTTTGACATTGAAAAATATAAGCTAACCAGCAATAAAATTATAATTTCTATTCGATGATATTTTATGCATCTATGAAGTCATTTTCTATTGAACTAACTTTATTAGTGTGGTTGCATATAAGAAAGTTATGTCTAATAGTCGTATTTAAAACCTTATTACTACATATTGTATAGGTCCAGTTGTAGCTGGTGTAGTAGGCTTAACCATGCCTCGTTATTGCTTGTTCGGAGATACAGTCAATACCGCCAGCAGAATGGAATCACATGGAGAAGGTAATATTGTCAATAATTTAATGAACATGTGATAATAAAGTGGCAACCAGGAATTATTATTCTCTTGTGTAATAATCAGTGACATTTTGTATTATTTTCGTGTGTACATATATTTAAAGCATCGCGTATTCATATCAGCGAAGCTACAAAAAAATTTATAGACGCGAGTTCTGACTACCGAATAGAAGAAAGAGGAGAAATCGTCATTAAGGTAAGTTTAAGATAATATAATGATTATAATTTTTGATCATTGGTGATAAATGAAGGTTAAGGTAATCAATTGTACCAGTGAAATAATACCATATTTGGTACGTGAATGATTTCAAGTAGGTGAGATTCTGACTAATTATGGGCTTATTAATTTATTTCTCCTTAAAACTCAATTTAGGGTAAAGGTAAGCTAAGGACTTATTGGTTGACTTCTAATTCACATAAATGTAAAGTTCGCACAAGGTTCGTACCAAGAGAAGATAGCATATTAGTTGAAGAAAGTGTCACAACCGAGGTTTAAAGAACGAATGTTTATAAAATAAGGATTAATCATTATTTGAAAGATCACAGATTTAAAATCTAGTATATCTTTCACGTAATTAGAATTAATAATGCGCCGCAGGTATTATGTAAAGACAGGATTTTCATTGATTGAAAAGATATTTACACGTATAAGTATATAAGCAATTGCTGATATTATCAATCTAACTAGCAATAAAGCCTTGTATCTGATACCTCGGGAAGACGATGTAACTTATTTACCAGTTGGATAGCTGTTGTATATTGATCAATGCTGTCAAATACAACTGCACCTCATTTTGCGTGTAAAGAGCACCATTATATTCCTGTGATATAATCTAGTATTCGGCGTGGACTTAACTTAGCTAAATCTGCTTGTTAGACATGTTGAGTATTTTTTAAAAGTTAGGCCATAGCCAGAGCTTGCTTACAGTGTCAATATTTTTAAACGACACCATGTCTTGCTTCTAAAATATGAGAAGAAGCATTGGTAGCGTATTTGTAAAATTTGAAGAATCCTTTTATTCTTTATTATAAGCATTGTATATATCTACATGCATTTCAATCTCGATAATTTTTGAAGGTATTCTTATACAGTATAATTTAGAAGAAATATTTTAGATCTAATTAATACATAAATATTCACAAAAGTAGTTTAAGAGTTGTTTCCGTTACTGTATATTGTGATATTTCTGAATTTAAATTATAAATTATAGATAGCTGTTTAAATTGTTCTTCTCATGATGTAGTAGAACTTCACAGAAAACTATACATTTCGAATATTTAATGATAAAAATGCGCTTTTACGTCCTATAAGCATGTATAATCGACAAGTTAAAAACAGTAGCTGTCTAATTCGTTATTTATCATTATTAATGAATATAATTATGTTACTTTACTTTATATCTCTTATTAATCTGAGTAGCATGTCATCTGGACTGATTTTACTATATATTACCGGCAGTTCTTATTTAGAATATCTACAACCAACGTGTACAGATTAGGTAATAGATCATAATAAATCGCATTTTTGCGTTTTTCTTGTACAATGGCATGAGATTGTTAGTTGATCTTAGAATTTAAACTATATATTAATAAGTATGCTCGCCTACGCTAGGAAAATGTAGAAAAATACCTTAAATTATGAGTATATTACATTGAATCCAGAATTTTTTTTAATTAGTTGCAAATGGCTAACACTTAAACTACTTTAAAGCTAGAATTCAGGGCGCTATGGATAGATTCTAATTCAAATAATAAGCTGGTGAGCGGTCCTATTAGTCATGTGAATATTTTCAATTAATTAACTGATCCATTAAATTAGTCGCTAAATAAAATCGATCATGTTCATATTCTATACATGTATATCTTGACGTCAGTCATCTTTAACACATCCGTGTATGCGTAGCTTATATTGCTATAAGCAACAGTAGAGTCTATCATACCCAATCTATACGTATAACGATAAATGTTTATTTGATTTGGTAAGCGTAGTCTGATGTAGCATTAATTAGCCTGTATTTGCATAATATGCTGCCATGACATAAACTGGTGATCTATTATATTGTCAAAATTACAAATTGCAACATGAACCTTAAAGAGTTTTATTTGTCCTGATTGTACAGTATCAATATGACAACCAATATTGTTAGTAACGTTCTGATCTTTCAATTCCTACATCATTTCATAACTCAAAGTCATATAGCTTTGTCAATACAGCTGTGAATAAAATTGCATAAATTTACCCTACCAATCATGCCGTTTGAAAGTGGATTTAAAAGATAAAAGAAATCCGTTAAAAAATTTATTATAAAAATTATTTGGGAATAGAAGTGAACTTAAGTTATTAAAAATGATGAGTAACCTAGCAGCCATGTCAAAAAATTGCTAAACTAAAAATAAATTGATACAGGTTTTTCGTATTGTAATACAATTCAGAAATGGTTTGATCTTTTATTATACTAATTCTTGACAATTAATTATAAAGAGACATGGTATTATTGATACGGTCGTATTAACAGAATATAGCAGGGTATATCATACGGCATGTCATAAAAAAGCAATCTTATCATCGTTTTATTCTAGTAGTAAATACATTTCTTGTAGCTATATTACAAGTTAGAGGTGACAAGACTATATAAAAAATAACACTGTATGACTGCACAATGGTTGACGTCAACATCATGCATTTATAGGTCATAGTTAAAAATTTTCAGATATAGAATGGCTACAGCTTAGTTAAATACATTCGTCAATATATTGGTTAATATATGCAATATATGAAAAGATTCGACATCAGTGGGTTACTGTTATTCCAATAGTTTGATACTGCCACCAAGGACCTACCAAGTCCATCTAAGCGCTCCTTTTTATTTTTGATTGGTGTCGATATAATCGCCAGCAAAAACTTTCATGGGAACGATGTCTACATAAAGAAAAATATCTTAAAATATTCGTTTCTAAGACAGTAGGAAAAATATTTCATCTCTCGTTTGGGTTACACGATAGAAACTTTTACATCAGATAAACAATATATCAGAATAGTCAGCTATAAGTAAAAATTATTTTATTCCTTACCAGAAAGAAATCGTAAGGCAGGATCTTTTTCAACTGCATTGGCTGTAAAAAGAATGATAAATTATTAAAATACAATGAATAGATCAGCCAGGCTGATTCTATTTATTGCAAAACCATAACCAATAATTATTGGTTAAGGTTTTGCATCCAACTATCATAATTTATAACTGAACAATCTACACTACGCGCTTAATTACATGTATAATAACATGCCAGTGTCGACTGTCGAAAATTACTGCATATAATCTATGTAGACGCATAGATGATTACAATAGGACCTAAGTAAATTATCGCAATACTTATGTAGCATCATTCCTGGTCGTATGTCGAAGCATATGATATGCATACAATAAACAGCATATAATGTATATCACGATCCAGGTTTACTTGTAGTAGCCCATGACTGTACAACAGTATACAGTATAAACTATTAGCAACAACACTACCAACAGGCTTGTAAAATCTGTATGAAATTCGACTTACATAATTCTTTATAGATGATGCTACCTCTCCCTTCAGGCAATCTATCGTAAGCTTCACGGGTGAAATATTCAACGAACATTTCCTAAAAGAGAAGAATTTAAGCTGTCCGTTACAATCTATGCTAACACTACAGCAGAATGGTCAAAATTGAAGTTTAATCAAGTGGCATAAATCATCATTTGACACCTTGTATTGAGAATAAAGTAAATTGATCGTCAATATTAACGGTAAACATCGCGTATACTAAATAATAGTATATCAGCTTCCGTAAACTTTTGTCTTACAATGTCAAGGGTATGTTTATATACGAATAGTTAAGTTAATGATAATTAATAGAATGTAAAGACTGAAGTACGAAGTCGCACATATGCATGTGCGATAAATACTGTAGACATATGCGAGTATTCCTATTCAAGATCTATCGTGAATCAGCCTGATGAAATGCAGTATTTATGTCTGTAAATAGTAAAATATAAATCAAGTCTAAAGCTATCGTTACAAACTCCTTTAGAGTAGCGTGTATTATAGAATAAAGCATTGAATAGTACTTCAAGTAATCATTGGCAACAAACTGACGATGTCAAACATGTAGACTGTCATGTCCTATCGCTATTATGAATTAGCGACTGGCTTCCAGCTTATTTTGCCTTCTTTTCTAACTGTTTTCCTTTAGTCTATCTATCTTATATACAATCAACCACAAAGGAATAGATTGTCTTTAAGGTACAATCCTTTGTATTAATTTGTACGACATGTTCAGTTCAGGCCATCTTATATCACAAGGGTACTGGAAAAAAGGTCCCACTACTACAGCGGTATCATAATCTGACTATACTGTATGATTACAACGGTAAAGATAAACAATCGTGATATGGGCAAGCTGATGTTAGCTTATCTGGCTTATTCTATAGCATCATCAACCAAGCATCGATCCAATGCTCTCCCATACCATACTGTTTTACTGTTTTAACACTCTGAATATTCTCACATGACTACAAAAATGAAGGATATGGCGGGTATAAGTCTAGGAAAAGCTGGTTGTTCACTATAATGGACAATACATTGAAAGTTTGCAATACAATATCATCGATTTATGGATACAGCCTACTTACAGCTGCTTTAGTAATGACATAAACTGATTCTTGACTTAAGTTGGATATTTCTGGAGCACATTTCATGATCGATCGTATGCGTGATATAGGTAATTTGAGCTTGGTTGTGGTACTATCTTCATCACAATTTGTATTATCCGCCATTTTTGGAAGAGGTTGATGAATTAGCACATGCGCTCACGTAGAGTTGCAGTAGACATTTGGTTGTACTGTACACTGTAGGGTACAGTACAGTACAGTGTACAGTACAATGTGGACGGGCTAATTTCTATGATTTTGGTGCAAACAGATAGATTAAATTTTTTTTTTTTTTTGGACAAATTTTATATCAGTCTATACCCTGTACAGTACAGTACGCACTACAAGTACAGTACCGTACAGTACTGTACAGATCTACAGTGTACAGTATTTTACCCGTCCAGTACTGGCATTGTAAACTCAGTATCCAGGCTTGTAGAAGTTTCTGCGGGCCGTACAGTACTGGAGCTGTTGCCCCTCTCATATCATTGCAGTGTGCAAAACAGGCTGTCATCCTTTCTGTTTCGGTTTACCATGTTTTTCCATCTATTCACTAAGTAAGGAGCTTGGAGGGGGTGACAGCTAACTTTGCACACTGTCGTAACGTACCGTATCACAAAGCGATCGAATCTTTGCCATCACAGCCAAAACGTAGGTAGAGCAGCTCGAATGCTCGATGTTGTAACGAAGTAGCAGCCACAAGATCATGGAAAGAAAACTGGAACGAAAAAGGAAAGCACTTGATGAACATCGCAAGGAAGTAAAGAAAGCATTGTCAGTAAGTAGATGTATTGTAGAATGCCCTAATATGCTTATCGAGTTGCTGCAATTATTGTATATTACAATACGTATCGAATCCATTGCAGAAGCTAGCAATAATATAGTGCTAATGCACGAGCATACCTTTACTGCTGTCTAAAAACGGTGCATTCGCTGTTGCCTGCTCACTTGTTCAAATGATTAAGTTATTCAGTAAGGATTGTAGAACCTATATTCTACAATTTCAGTGATATGGATTAGTAACAGACTACCAAATACTAAAAATCGAGTGTGCAAGGAAATCATCCGCACTATAGGTGATGCAAGTAGAATGTGTAGTGTAAAATGTTCAACATGCATGGATCAGCATCAATTATGCAATGTAGTCATTGAAGAACTTTGAATTAACTATCTTGATGTACAGTATAGTGCTAATAGTCTGCACTCAGTCGATGTAGAGAATATTGAATAAGTACTGTATCACTGCATTCACTAAAGTATCTTAAATTCTAGAATGCAAAGTTTCTGTAGTCAGCATTTCAACTGCAACTGTACCCTAATTCTACAGTAACTTGTGGAGGTACTATGTACTGATTGTACTCCAATCGATGCATGCTGATGATGAAGTAAAACAGAATTATTACTGCTTGCATCTTTACAGACTGTTGTCCGGCCAAGAAAATAAGACTAATTTAAATAAAAATATTCAACAATCTCCCGTCTAGACTTGAAGAAAGCATTGGGAGTATATGTAATCATTGACAGTACATGATGGATAGTATACTGCAATCACGGTTTCATACTATCTTGCAAGCTGTATTGTATTGTATGCAATAACGAATTGCTATTTTTCATATTCAAGATCAATGAAGTATTAGCTGTTATTCTGTAATTATATTATTATTTACGGCCATTTAAGATACCTACTACTTAAGCTTTAAATGGATCTTACCCAAGTATTGATCTTTTTGCAGGAACAAGAAAAAGTCGGAAAGAGTAACTCCTGGACATGGACTATATTTAAATTTCTGGTTATTTCAATATTAGTACTCACAATATTGAATTACAGCTCTTTGAAGCAGGAGTATGCTAAGCTAAGACCTGAAGATGGCAAATTACATGATATCGGTTTTGGACACAATCTCTTTATTTATTGCCAAGGTCATGGCAAGCCTGTTGGTTAGACTATAATCTACAGTATATATTCTGTACATGTTTTATTCTACCTTAATCATTTTTCAATCATTACTAATTCTTGGTTAATAAATGTGAAAAAGCCAGCCTGATTGTGTGATGTCACAATTACTGTTAACCGTTTTTCTACTGAATTGTTTATTCCAGTTGTCCTCGATGCTCCTGCGGGCGAAACATTTGACACTTGGACTTTAATACAGCGAGAGGTTGCCAAGCACACCAAAGTTCGTAGATAAGAATATTCATGCTAATTTTCACCTAAAGAAGCAAAATTTTGCTTGTCTACAATTGATGTATTCTCATATTGTAAATTTCTAAGGCACTGGTCAGTAATTTAATGTCATTTACTGTACAGTTACAACACCTACGACGATTTCTTATTTGTATAAATTTGGCCAAGCGATCGTTGTCATAAACTTGACGACTCTCATATGAAATTTTTAGGTTTGCTCGTACGATAGATCGGGCCTAGGATTCAGCGACAGAAGCTATCGTGTAATTCACTGCAGTATTTCTTACGAATTTTATATTTCGATTGTAATCGATATTATAATTAGTACACTATTAATATATTATTACGCTACATAGAACGCATCTGCATTAAATCAAGCTAATTCAAGCGTAGTACATGGTACTGAAAAGTAGGTTATATTATCCTGTCTACATCACCTATTAATTATGACAAGAAATAAAATAGTATAGTAAAGTGATATTGATATTGTAAACGTAGGATGGTTGATGACTTAAGGCGCTTATTGAGCACCGCAAAGGTTTCACTAAAACCCCTTATCTACGTTGGAGCTGAAATGGGAGCTATCAACGGCCGCTATTATTCGTCGCTCAACTTTCCGTAAGTTCTTTATTACTAAATTTGCATAAATAAAATTTAATATTATGGTGCTTTCGGATTCAAAATGTACTGCATAAGCGTAAATACTAGTGCCTCAATCATAATTATAAAAATACCTATTCCATTTTTAGGGAAGTAGCCCATTTAGTCCTTGTTAACCCTTTGACTGAAAATTTTCTTTCCATTAATGAGCGCGTTTGGGAATTGTTCTGGTAATTTTCTACCTTAACATGATTATAATTAGCATTAGCAGTAATTTTCTCGATTGTAGTTTCAACAAGTAAAGTTTTCACTTTCGTATATCTATCAAAGGTACAGCCACTTAGTTCCCTCAATACAAAAGGCTCAATTATTATCGGCTATTGGCTTTACTAGAGTAGGTTATAAGCTGTATTTAAAAAAAGATGCACTTGAAGATGAAAATGTAGATGAAATGGTAAAACTTAGGCATGTAAGTTGTGCTATGACCTTGTTTTAATCAAGATCAAGATGTATCAATACAGATAAAATGATATTAACGAGTGCTAAGGAGAGTGATTGCATCCAGCCTTCGCACGTACTTGAATACCTCGTTCTGATAAAATTATTTGAAAGCTAATTCTCACTAGGAAACTATCATTACTTTTACAGAAGTATCTTTCGTGTTCTCCTGGTCATCAGTCAACTAAATTAGAAGAATATCTCCTTTTAAATGCCAGTCTTATTCGATTAAAGTTAGAAAATTTATTTAATCTTACTCCAAGTAGCAGTTTCTTATAATCTTTTGTAATTGATTGATCGCTGTTTATCATAGAAATTTCCTACTACACGAGCCTATTCCTGATACTATGCCGGTCACAGTTATAGCTTCGGATCAATTTGATAGAAATATCTCTTCAGAATTAAATCAGGTTCTTATTTACAAATCCAACTGGTAGAATGAGTTAAGATCAGTTTTAGATTAGAATCGATATTGGATGTAATGTATTAGATGATTTACTACTTCCTATTTTTAATATCAAGGTATGGCAAAACCTTATTACTGAATTGACAGATAAGATACATCCACAGAGTCGAAGAGTCAAAATAGCAGATGGAGATCGAAAAGATATATATTACAAGGGAGCTCCAACAATTTCCAAAGTCATAATACAAGCGATTAAACAATACCGAAAAAGCCGAGTTATGAAATCGACCTAGCTATGGCTAAATGTACAAGTATATATTGTTTTGAAGTCAGGCGCTGAAATATAAAATGAAATTATGATTTTATTGCTTTGTAGCCCAAATCAATTAATAAAACGATCGAATTGTAATATACAGTATGACTTTGGATTGTGGTTGTATTTAATAGGACGCACGGATTTCTATCAGCTTTTGTGACATCCATTACAATTAGCTTTTATACGTGCACGTATAGTATCATACATAGCACGAGTAAGTACCAGAGGGGAAATGAATGTAGGAGGGCAAGGAAGATGATGGTAGATTTAGTTATTCTTCTTGAGTCGTGATGGATATGCATAGGCATTTACAAAACGTGTGCACTGTATATCTAATTACCCATGTTGGGTTTATTCTTGAGTCGTAGAGATGTACATAGACATGGATAAAACGTCCGTACTTCTTAAAAGACCTTGATCAATTATTCCTATCGGTGTATGCAAAGTGGCGACTTGCAAAAAAGACAAGTTTTTATTGCACCCTTGGTAAATGGAGGTTGTTGTTTTGCCTTCATACAAATGAAAGGCAGTTTCATGGCCACTCCAAGCCATTAGACCTTGTAAAAAACGTTTCCTAAGCATCCCTAATAACTGTGGATCAGGATCATCCTGGAGAGAAATGTGGCTGTCATTGCAAGTGGCGACTTTATCGTTGTTCATATTGGTAGTCCTCTTCTTTACCTTCAACTCGACAAGTCCTGGTTGACCTTGCGTCTACTCGTAGCTCACTCTAGATATGATCGTTTCTCTCTCAGTTGCTAGCTTCGCCTCATGCAATGATATTCTTAACTTGTCAGGCAGCAATGGACACAATCTGCGCCATATCCAGATACAAATTGTTTCTAAATCTTATGAGCTACTGTTCAAGAATACAGTATTTATTTGCTGCTTACAACTGTACTATAGCTGCGAACCAAGGGTTTCTCTTGCGATTCTGGCTCAATCTTCAAGATGGTCCAGTCTAGTTCAACGAGCTGTAGGACAGTAATTGACTTTTTTGAAGGAAACGAGTATTTGCTTATTAAACCAACAGTACAGTACTGTACTAACGATTACCACCAACATAACCACTAACACTACTGTACTGTACATACTGCACAGTTTAGACCTAAGAAAGGTTCGGTTCGGTCCAATACCATTGTGGTCTGCCTGTCCGTCTGTACTGCATAATGAGTGTACAGTACAGTATCAGTAAAAATTTGTAATACTGTACACTGTACAGTACAGTACAGTATAGTAGTCATGACTCATGCGCATTCAATTTGATTCTGAGTGTACAGTACACAAGAAACTACAGTGTACAGTGTACAGTATACTATACTGTATAAACCCGCTCCATCATGTTACAGACTTTAGTATTGATCAACTGCCCATCAACGAAACGCCGATTAATATTTCTACTTCAAAAAAAATCACATTGCACCGTTGGAAGCTTGCTATTTTAGACAAGAAATTAGCTATATCATTTGAATAATGTCAGGTTACGGCCAACCACCCAACTACGGCAATTACGGACAACCTAGTAAGTTATTCGATGAATGGATTATATATTGATAGTAAAATATTGTAAAAAGATATATACTGCCAGTGCGGGATGCAAACAGATGCAAATAACCTAGTTTACCTTAAGGGCGTACTCTCTTGGCATGTAATTAATCCGTTAATGACTAGAGCAGATTCAATCAACTCAATTAAGGACTACTATACTGTACTGATGGACACTAGCATGTACAGTGATATTGTATAATCAACAATAGATTACCCTCCAATCGATAATGCTGCCAGTAGATGAGTGAGTTGTGCAAGAGAAGAATTGCCCATAGCGTCAATAGTCTCTCATTTTGGATCTTATCGTTTAATTAAATTGAATTAATTATAATTAATGCTAACGGGGAATACATGCTTATTCTATTATGAGCGTATATCGAATTCGAAATCGATTTAGCAGGCTGTAGCAAAACTATTGTTGCTTTCAAAATTCTTACAATAGAGTATAGTATTAGCAAGACAGATTACACTACTGTAGTGTGACAACTTCCTACCTCTGTCGATGAAACTGTTCTATACCGTTTACAGTCTTCATCTTACAAAACAAGTGACATCCAATTTATCATTTTTGAACTGATATAAGCGTACTTTGTAAGAAAAAATAAATATAAATAAAACAAAAGATAGGAGTATATCTTAGCCATGATACAAACTATTAAAGCTATCCCAAGATATTGAACTCTTCGTAAAAGATCTTTCCATCACGCTAAAATTGATCATCGATGATCTATTCCATATACTGTATCATGATATTCGTATGCTTGCTTCGTCCCATAGCGCTAGATACGAGTATCGATAGCACTTTTACAAATGGTAGACAACCAATCCATCGTAAAAGATTTTTCCATCACACTAAAATTAATCATCGATTCCATGCTTCATTCAATGCGCTCTCTATACGCCATAGTTCTATCAATCTGCAACACTCCTGTCAATGCAAGATAATGAGTCCTTCGTTAAAGATCTCTGCACATTGTAAAATTGATCATCGATTCCACAGATCATTGGATGTACTCTCTCGACACCGTAGTGTTATGGAACCTTTACCAATAGAAGACAACAAATCCTTTTTAAAGATCTTTCAATGATACGAAAATAAAATGGCTATAATCGATTCCATTTATCATAATAATCAATTACTAGTGGAACCCTCGCTCGCATTACTTTGTGTACTGTACTTGTACTTTTTACTTTATATGACTTTCAATCTGATAATTAATTTATTAATTCTTGATACTGCATTCATGTATATATGGATTATTCTGTACACGTATATGTTATTCATAAATAAATCTGTACTACTTCTACAATCTGACTAAGATATTGCTTTACTATAAATTTTATCAACTTATACCGTCATACATCGCATCTTTACCTGTTTAATACTCTTTTTAAGATTATCAGCAAGGTTACAATCCTAATCAATATGGACAGCAGCCAGGGCAACCTGCTCAACCTGCCCTGCCATGGTCATCAACAACAACAACAACCAGCATATGGAGGATATACTCAAGCTCCTCCTGCACAAGCATTTGGAGCTGCACCTTACGGACAACCACAGCAACCTAATCCAGATGCAGAATTATGGTCTTGGTTTCAAGCTGTCGATCGCGACAAAACTGGAAAAATTACAGTAACAGAATTACAAGCTGCTTTGACTAATGCTAATTGGACCAGTTTTAATGCTGAAACATGCCGACTGATGATAGGTATAAAATGCTCATGATATGACTACTAGGAAATGATGTAAAATAAATAAATTATAATAATTTTATCCTTGAGCTGGCGAAGGTTGTTTTACTTTCTAAATGCTGCTTTGTATCGCAGTAGCACATTATATTTTTACAATATAGAGCAAATAATATTTATGGATTATTGTTGAAGTTTATACGCTTTCCCGAAATAGTCATTTTCTCCTATCTTTTTTTCATTAAATTATACCCATAACCATTCGGAGTACTTTAACTTAAAATGCAACCGACCTCAGTAAATATGATTTGGGTCTATAATTTATGTAAATAATTAGATGTATCTAGAAATTTTTATATGTTCAATTCAAACGGCGAGCGATTCTTTATATTATTAGCATATTTTTAATCTATCTCAATACTGTAAATATGCGTATTATAGCTTTCATGTTGTCATTACCTAGTTTGTGTATAACATACGCATATCTTAACATACCGGATCTAATCAACATAAATACCACATGCGTAAGTCATCAATGTTAATAATTCAAGTCTATTTTTGTAAATCTTATCGTCACGATATTTTATAATTATAGCCATGTTCGATACGGATCACAATGGAACCATTAGTTTCGATGAATTTCGTGGTCTTTGGCGTTATGTACAGGAATGGCGACAAGTCTTCAATAAATTTGATACCGATAGAACCGGGGTAATCAACGCACAGGAACTTGGTATCGCTGTTTCACAAATGGGATTTAGATTATCGTCACAATTTGTTAATTTGATTATCGCACGATTCGATCCTCAGTCTCGTCGAGGATTGAAAATGGATATGTTTATTCAAGTTTGTGTACTTTTAAAGCAATTAACTGATGCTTTCCGCAATCGAGATACTCAACAAGCAGGAACTATCCGTATAGGTTATGAAGATTTTATGAGTATGGTCGTCTTGAACAAACCTTAATGCATATATAAATACTTTCAATTCCTTTTGCTCTCTATGTATTGTAACTTTAGAATATTAGATGACATGTATTCCATTTCTGTATTGAAAACTGACAGCTAGTTACTACTATTTAATTCATTTTATTGCAGTTTTGTGGTTAGTATTTGTACCATGAGCGAATATGTCATATTCCTTTGGAAATGGTCGATGAAATTAATCTAACAATTTGTAACATGTACCAATGTTGGTATTAGCTACATAATTGATCAGCACTTAAATTGTAGAAATACTCCTTTATAGGTCATATCCTGTTTGTAGAAATTTTTACCAAGCTAATTCTTAACTAAATGAACCCATAAGAAGCTACGCTTCTCTTATTAATGATTCGAGATTGTAATGTGACTTGATTTCTGAACTTTGGTCGTTTAAGATAGTGATTTAGCTTATAGAGTATCGCAAAAGTTTTTCTTTACCAAAACATATCATGCATACGTGTATCATAATAGGAACAGGAAGTACGTTGACATACGAGTATTTAGATAACATTATGTAATCAGGCTGAATAAATTTAAATTTTTTTAGTTCAACCTTGTGCAACTACTTAAGTAATAAATTTAATAGGCTGTACAGTGTACAAACAGTCTGAGGAATTACTAAATAATAAACAAATGAAAGAGGTGATTATAATGAGTTGCGCTGTTCATGAAATGCTGCACCATATCAGATTACAGGCGAGATCTATCTTATATGCATATTGACAATTTCGCCTAGTCAGTAGTATCAAACGATAAGATGCTTAATAATTGTTGGTTTATTATTGTCATGATTCCTATCGTAGTTTCATTAATAAATATCGTTGGTATGACAGGTATAGATATTACAGTAAGAAACAAAATAGAATTTAGCTTTGTATGGGAAGGATGAAATCTCACCTAGCCATAATCCATAAACCTTAATCTATGTTACAGATACGAATTTGAATATTGACATAATTATAAAACAGTTAAAAAAATGTTTGATCATAAACCCCTAAAATTTGTATAACATACATCTCAACATTTTAATTACTTACGTCAATCTATTTAGACAAAATCACTATGAAGTACAGAATAATACTCATAATAATTTAGTAATTAATCAATGAATCATTTATACATTATTTCACCTCTACATCAATTCAAGTAAAGCAAGTTCATAACAATAATTTAAGAAAAAACATTTGAAAATATGATAGACTTTCTTGGACTAGTATTACAAATTAGTGGTAAATGGATGTAAGTAAATGATTATTTATTAATTACTGTACATGCTATCATTATGCAATGGATTATATTAAAAGCGAGAACTGCTTCCGCATCGTGGTACTGTAATTTATCTAGTAAAGACAAACTGTACGGTACAATAAATTGCAAATTTTAAACCATTTTTTATATAGGTATATCACATTTCATTAATAAATTTATAGAGATCTGTTACACTTTTTCAGTCTTATTGCGTTTTAATCCACCATTCAACTTCAGATTATGAGTGGTACTTCCTGCAGTGGGTTTTACATGATTTTTTACTGAGCTGTTAGCATCAAATAATGTGTCTTCATCACTATCATCGGAATCACTTGCAAAAAGGTTCGACTTTCTAAAACGATCTTTTAATAAAAAAATAACATTTTGATTAAAAACTACCCAAAATCGGCTATAATACTCTAAAATTATCAGATTATTAAAGTTACTTTTAGAACGCGATTTCATTTCATTTTTCGAGTTCTTATCTTCCAGCATAGTAAATTTTTGCCTACGCAAATTTTTATTTCTTCTTCTAGAAGGATAATATTATAAAATTTTAAAACAACTTTCTATAAAAAATTCTTCATAAAAGTCCACGTTCTGTACATACCGTCTACAACAATACAATATGAACCATATAATCGATACAATGGCAATCACGCAGCTAGCACATATGATAATAACATAAAGTATGCTCCATTCTAAAAATCACGAGCATTAATAGTAAACATTAGCAAGTATCTCAATATATCTTCTATTCTAGCTATAAAATTACAAAGCTTTTGAAGTAAATATTAGAGCTTAAAATAGAATTTTTGTACTACTTACCACAGTTACTTTGCCCCTGAATGCCCGCTTTAATAAAATTTTCCATCCAAAAACTATTACACACACATCTCTTGGACAAATTATCGCACACGCCATGACCAGAGCAATTGTTATGACACACTAAGTAAAAATATTAAGTTCCTGATTTAAAGTAACATAATTTAATAGCTGAATTTGCCAAAATTAACGCATGACAATATCCTTTATATTCACGAGATATCACTTACGATAAGTATCTATTGCAACAATCCAATACTTTCGGTTTAGATTTTTAAATGCCTTTGATTTTAATGTTGAAACGATTTCTGCTCCCTTTTGCACCTTACCATTATCATCAACTATGTAAAAAACTACTGATATCCTGTAAAATTTATAGAATTAAGAGATTACAATGATAAGAACTTTATACCGCAAAACTGCTCCTTAGAGTATAAACCGAGATACTAACCCGCCGGAATTAATTTCATGGATATTATCAATCTTAATCTTATCGCCTGATATTCCCAAACTTAGCGAAATAGTAGTCAATAAATTCATTTTATTCTGATTGGTAAATGTATGACCCTGGGTATCGATCTTTACTTCAACAAGATTTTCCATAGCATCACCTATGATAAGATAAGTCTTATTAATTATGACTAAAGTCACCCTTCATCTTCTATTTTATATTGTTGTACTCACCTTTTACGACTGTAATTGTAGCTTTGTCAACGCTGTACAGTCCTTTCTGATCAACAACTTTGAGCGTGAATGTGTACTTTCCTACCACTAAACCTGCCAACCGTAGGATTGGCTTATGATCTGAATCCTCAAGTATGGTCTATTAAGGGAATAATAGCTAAGCATAAGTATTAAATAACTCTTAAAAATTTTAGAAATACAAACCTACCGCAATGGCAGGACTATTGCTGGAACGCGTCCATTCATATCTAACTATTCCATAATCATCGCTTGATAAAGAGCCGTTTAATACAGCTTCATTCTTGGGTAGTTTCACAGTCACATCGCCATTAATTTTCGCAACGGGAGCTTTGTTATCATCTGGTAAAATGTTTTATTGACCACAATACAATATTAAATATAACTTGAAAGTCGATGTTGAATTGTATACTTTCAGAAAAGCCTTTTTAAGTATTTAACGTGTAATCTAACCTTTCTTTACGAATACGTTGACAGTGTCCTTTCCTTGTAAACCGCGATCGTCTGTTACAATCAGCTCAAAGACGTATGTCCCTAGTTTAAGCTTAGTCAATTTTAGCTGACTTGTCTTAGCTCCAGACATTACAAACGAATTTGGACCACTAAAAATGATTAAAACTTTTGTGAATAATCAGTCTCAATTGGTAGGAAAGCTTTCAATCTAAAAATACCTGACTTTGCGCCATAAATACGAAACAATGCCACGGTCATCACTACTGGACGAACCATCAAGAAAAGTCGAATCATCAGGTGAAACTAGATCTTTATCAGGACCAGCTACTGCCTTAGGAGGCTTATTATCTTCTGGTTGAACCACTACAGTCACTGTTGCTGAAGCCATTTGCCCAGCAGTATCAGTAACATTTAACTGGAAAACGTAGTGTCCTTCAACTAGATTTGTTACATGCAATACTGGCGATGTCGTACCCTTAGGATATAAATAAATTTTATTATAAACTGAAAACATTCTGTCATTAACATGAAACATTTGAATTAAAATCTACCTGCATATCTGCAATCTCTGGTGAACCATGTAATTTTGTCCAAGCATATCGAACAATTCCATTATCATCGTAACTCCCGCTACCATTCAAAACGACAGAATTTTGTGGTAGATACAATAAAACATCCGGACCCGGCAGGGCCACTGGCTTATAATCCATCGCTATAAATAAATTAAAATTATTGAACGTATTTAATCTTATTGAAGCTATACTCAAGAGTTAAAGTTGAGGCATAAAACGCAATACCTTTATTGACTTTAATTCTAGCTAGGGTTGAATTTTTTACTCCATCCGAGTCGGTTACAGTAAGTTTAAAGTCGTAATTACCGGGATCTAACTTCGTTAGTTGCAAGACTGGGTTCGTTTTTTTCTTTAAATAATAATTTAAAGGACCAGCAACTAATTCCCACTCATACTTAACAATCTTATCATCATCCGAACTGCGAGACCCATCTAGGACAAACTTTTGTATAGGTAGAGTTATCTCCTTGAATTTTGGATAGATGACTGCTACCGGAGGCTTATTATTACGAACGGCTAAAAGTAAAAATATGGTGAATGCAGTTGTCAATTCGACTTATTTTTAAAACACGAGCGCTAAATAATAAGCATGTTATTAAACTTAATTTAATTACCAGGAAAAACGGTTACATTAACGAACCCATGACCGTAACTAGCTTCACTTCGAACAGTCAATTTTAATCCATAAACACCAGGGACATCTATATTTGATAACGACAGTAATGCCGTATGTTGACCAGCTATGATAGCTTTACTGTTAGCAGGAGAGAAAACTTTACTCCATTCGAAGCTATAAGGGTGATTTTTAGGCGATGGCGGCCAAGCCGCACCATATATAGTAATGCTATTTACTGGTAAAGTGATATTTCGATTAAAGCCGACATCGACTTGAAGTTCTGAAAAGAAATGAAAACATAAATACCACATCAGGAACTATGCGTATTAAAATGATATAAATAATGATACCTTTAATATGCGTTGCGGTAGGAAGTTGAGAATGAACAGTTGTTCGAAACGAAAGTTTTGTTGTGATAGCAGTTTTAGTGGATATTACTGTCTTGGTTGAAATAGATTGTTGTTGCGTTGTAGGGGCCTGAGTAGCTACAGTAGCGGACTCACTAGATGCCGTTATATACTTCTTAGCAGAGGTAGTAGCCCTTTGCGATGGTGTACTTGGATGAGCTGTAGAAGAAGCCACCCTAGTAGTAATGTGAAGCGATGTTGTTGTTAATGTTGGACTTGAAGTTTTTCTGGTAGAAATGATGGGTTTCGATGAAGTTGCTCTAACTGTAGACTTTGATGGTGTTGCATAACTTTTTCCTGCATCAAGTTCACTGTTTAAAATGCAAAGTATATGACTAGAATCCGGTCGGGAGCCTTCTTGACAAAAGCACCGATGCTTTGATGTTTCGCAAGAAGCATGCGGAGGGCAACGTATATTAGTTGAGCACCGCCTTTTCAGGAACAATGAAAGGTGATCACTACTTTTATTATTATCTGCCTTTAGAACACATTTAGTGTTGTCGCCATTTAACACAAACCCATTTCGGCAAAGGCATTTTGAATGCCGAAGCGTTGTTCCCATTACGCATTCAGAATTATGTGGACAATCGTCATCTGCTTGGCAATGCTTAGTATTATCATTTTGGTGTATATTGACGCAATTTTTGCTTATCGGATCACGCGTAAATTCATCTTTGCATTGACAAATAGCAACCCGGCGATGGTCTATAACACATTCCTCATTTTGATCACAGCCTTCACCATTCACTATGTTACAGCGCGTTGATTGAGAATCTCGCAAAACACAGACATTATTTTGTCTTATATATTCCCTTTTGCATATACAATTAGATATTCCCTTAGTTAGTTTAACCCAACAAAATTCGTTTTTATGACAATCGAGAGTAGTAGAACAGATACTACCAAGCTTGCGATCTTGCATTTGTGAACCTTCTGAATCATTACTATCATTTAAGCCATTCTGTGATTCTTTATCATCATTTTTTGAATCTTGTATATTGTTACTGTTGCTACTATCTCCATTAGTAGTAACACCAGCTCCTCCGGGTGATGAAGTAACCACTGTAGTTGTAATACGATTTGTCTTATTAGTGATTTCTTTCCGGGAAGTAGTTGTTTTATCTACCAAATCGGTAGTTGACATGGTCACTCCTTCAGTTCGGGAATAATTATTGCCATTCGAGATGGTAGAATTTGGCTCTTGCTGAACCTGATTTACTGTTAAGATAACAATTATTATTATTATTATGAAATCTAAGTCAGAAAAATCTTCATAATGGGCATCGAAATAAGAATTTTTTCTCATGATGGCGGTAAAGTCAGGAGTCAGGGCCATACTTTAAGCCTGACTAGCCAAAAAATTAATATGAAGCTCTGCTGTTAATAACTACATTATACAGAGGTACAATTAACTCTGTAGAGTTGTTAGAGAAAAGTTAATTAATCCTACTACAATAGATATTAGACACGATGTTATTATGCTTTAATTAAGATCTGATAAAAATCGATAGAATAGTAGTAAGTACTTAAAAGCTGGAATTTATGCCGTAAAATTTCTAATCAGCGGTTGAAAGAGCAACAACTCAAGAGATTCAGATGTTACACAGCTGATGAATGATGAGACATATGAATACATACAGCAGACAGTTTATAAAGAATTCATTTTTGTGGGCAATATAATACTTTCAAACAGTACTACGCACCAAGATAATTAAATAATGAGTTCACGGACATCTGTAGCGTGAACAATCATAAATTAATTATATCAAATGTTGTTTCGGATATTTCTCTTCTACAGTATTTCACGATATCATGAATGTGCTTAGGTATTACGATTTATAGTCAACGATATTCTACATTGTTACAATAGTACATTCACTTATAATTTTAGTATACTTTCAATACAATAAAGCGCAACGTAGAACACATTTGGCAGATGCTAAATTGATCAGTGCATCAAAAAGACTAATCAAACAATATTAAAAAATCATAAGTGATAATTGCTTTCAGCTGGACTACTTGTGTCAACAAATCTAGGCAACACCAACAACTATTAATAAGCTTAAAGAAAATTTCAGTATCTGAGTAACAATATTGTTTGTAATTATTATCAACATGTATAACTAGCAAGATTTCTTGATATTCGTTAGGAAGGTGCACCAACACATATATTAATATAGAAGTTATGCTGCATCCATGACTACGAAATTAGCTACTCAGTATGCAGTCAAAAATTTTTCTGCTAGTATGCGAAAATACGGTACAGTGTACACATTAGGATGCTTTTACGTGATAGATTACTGTTCAGTCTGTTCAGGCGCTTCAACTCCTGTATTACGAACGCATTGTGGTGATTATGACTATGATGGCTTAGGAATCAATTAAGTTAACGTTTGTTTCTAGCACAGTTATAGTATATTGCTTATATGGGTTCCTTTAACGACCACTAATCTTATATAGTAAATGATGTATTAAGTTTTAAGAAGGATTAAAACAGATATTTTTTCCAAACTTTTATTGCTACTGTACATTTAAGGCTTTCACTACTTCAGTTCACAGATGCTTATTAGAATTACTAATAGAAATTTTAAATACGTTCGTATTTAATTTATATAAAAAAATCGTAACATTCGAGTACTCTTTCTAAATATGATGAAGCTATGTCATTACCGTATTTTAATATACAAATAAATAGAACTTTTTTGATCTGGATTTTTGTACCCCTTTTCCGGCATACAGTGTACTAACAAGATAGGGATAACATAATACGCCATAGTAAATTATATCTGCTTACCATTTCGAACAGGAATAACGGAAGAATCCGCGTCCTTACTATTGATTAAGCAACCGGATAACGGACTCTGAGGACAGCTGACAAGATAGCACATAGGACCTACCATCCATACCATATTGCAACCTCGCCGACGGCAACATGATCGGACACAACTCTTGTAGCTCGTCACACGACCAAGACTTACGATATAATCAGATATTATATTATTTGCAGGTTGTCGACCAGTAACTGGTCTGCCATATTGGCATGAACTGGAACTTCTCCTTCCGAAATTGATTCTTGCTACATACCAAAGAGGGGGGAAAAAAGTTTAGATGTCTACTTCTCAGCTAATAATGTTAACTATAACTAGATCAAGGCAAAAACGCAAGATAACTTTGTTTAAAAGTAGGCAGTTCCCATCACAATACGTAGTGTATTTGCTAATTGAGTGTGATCGAGTTTATTATGATTGAAAACTACCTAGTTCATTAAATGCGCAAGATGCAAGGATTAATATAAGTTTAAAGGGGATCAGTCTGGTACATAACCTATTTTACCACTACTGTACTGTACTGTATTTTGGAAATACGATTATTTCAGACGTACTGGTACTATGAGAGGATTATCTTTACTTATTTCTATTTATTTATTGTTCGATAGACTGATACGATTTTTACTCGATGTCTTAATTATATGCTGAAATATCTCAATGATATTAATTACTAGTTACTAAGCTACTCTACATCAGCAAAATAATGTGAGACATCTGGTAATGCCAAAAATCGAATCAGTCTACTTATCAATCACTATGTCGTCGTCTGTCAGAATCGTATAATCCTGTTCTTTGTCCTAACGACAAATGCTCGGCAATAAGAGTACACAAGTATTGTTTATTAATATGTGTTTGTGTTCTGGCTTGATCTTTCATAATTGTGCCACTACACCAATTGCAGTTGGTTTTAGCCGCTCTATCTTAGAATACTATTAAAAACAAGTTAAATTAAGGTAATTTGGCTACACGAAAATTTATCATAAAAAGTAGAGTAAAAAGTATGACGTCATACAGTATGCTGCTGTGCGCGTACGGCTATTGGTTATCGTCTCATCCCAAATCTACAGGAATGGCTGGATGTGTATCCTACCATTTATCTAGAGTTCACTAGACTAAAGTGCCTATTATAAACTCATGGCGTATTCTCAGCACAAAAATTATATATGAAGTTTAGCTTTTATACCTTTTAATCGAGACTTGGGTATGAGTGTACAAAGTATTAGAGTAGCATCGCTTGTTTACCGTCTAATGAAGTGAAACCGACTTAATGTGAAGTTACGTATCATTGTACGAGCAAAGTGTCATGAAGTACAGTAGACGAATAAATAATTATAATAGAGCCGGGCAAGTACAGCATAACTAACAGTTACTTAACTGTAACGTATTATACTCAATGCTATCGATAAGGAATATATTTTAGTTTACTGTTAGTACTACAAATTATAGAAAAATGAAAGGAAGAAATGAAAATATTCCCTTACTATTCTGTTATTAGTCACACGCACGCGTATGTACGATATTTACCTGTCACAAGCGGCCAAAGGAAAATGAAGATATAAAACCATACCACAATTTGTTTGTAATGGCTAATCATGGTTCTCATATTCAGTTATTTAGCCACAGTAAAGCCAATGGCAATAGAAGCCAGATATCAATTCTCTTGAATAAATCAAATAAAGTTGAATATTGTTTAGAAGAAAGATTTCCAAATATTGATGTCGCTCTTTACTCCTATTGGAAAATTATATACTGTAGAATGACAGTACAGTGTTGCGGGTGTAACGATAGAAACAAAACTAGCAAAGACGCGATACACCCGTTGTATTGTAACGTACGCGATGAACTAATCTATTAACGTTAGACAATGCCATTAGATAGAATTATTACTATTCCACAATATTCAAGAGTATATATAGTTTCTTCATGGCTACCTCTTATTCTGCCTTGGAAAGATTAGGACTATTCACAGCCAAGGAAAATTCACACATATACAGTAGTAAAATTCTGTGATAACCACCAGCATTCAGTATACTGTGCAGATGCTTGAAATGCTTGGCGAGCACGGTATTTGACGTGTACACTGTACAGTGTACAGTACAATACTGTATAACTAGTACTGTAGTTGGCATACTGTACTGTATAATGTGCTGTGGTCTGTGACCATACCACGTGACTACGCTAGTACGCTACTGTACATTGTACAAGTGTACAGTGTAAAGTACTGTTCCGTACTGTACTGTACCGTACAGTACATTAAAAAATAAAAATACAAAATTATTAAATATTATTAAATGAAATAAAATGAAATAAAAGTAAATACGTCACCAGTGATCATACACTTACTACCTGCAGTACTAGAACAGTAGAATGATAAACTACTGTATATTTAATAAGTCCCAACGCATCATTCGCCAGTTGAACGTCACTGGTCAGTCAACGGTCACGCCTAGCTCGGATAGAAATCGCCGTGACACCTACACACAGACATTACTGTACTGTACAGTGTACAGTATTTGCCATCAGCCCATCATCGCTCATGATCATCGCAGTGTCTGCATAGAATGGTAATGCTCAAGTTATTTATACGTTAGCGTTTTACAGATTAATGTTGTAATATTTCTTAATTAGTAACAACATTAATCTATTATTATACATCTCGCTCGTTTATTTCGCGTACTTGTGCTTGTTACTTTACTCATTGTTGATATACTGTATACTAACGCAAACTGTATTGAACATGGTACAAGTGTACTGTAGGTGCACAGAGGTAGTACAGTACTGTACTGTACAGTACACAGTATTCGGTAAAGCACTTTGAAGCCCATATCTCAATATTGTTACATAAACATTAGATTCCATAATTCTGCAGCCGCCGCTGGAACTTACGAAAATATTTAATCAAGTGGGCTATGATTCTGATATGGAGGTAAACTTATATCGTTGCTAACGTAAAACTAGATTGGTTGTAACATACATAATGAACAGAAATTATGCTATAGTCAACGAGGAGGTGTAAGAGTATTCAGCTATCATATTAATAAGTCATCACACAGGATACTGTTTAATTCTGTCCTATACAATGTACATTGTACAACCTATCACTCCATAATTTGCCTTTTGTAGGCTATTACCTTCAGCGATAGTTACATCCGGTGGACTAGATGCGTCGATAATTATAATCAATATTATATGTTTATTTAGGATCGAAATCTTCGAAATGAGCTACTGGAATTTCGCGAGAAATGGCGTAATGAAATAAAAAGAAATCAAAATAATATAGATCTCACTCTGCAGACTTCCCCTCTAACAAGTCACGATACTGTTAGGACATCAATTCGCAATAACATTAGTGGTTTGGATAATAATCAAAATCAGGAGTCTGTACTTCAAGTAGAGTTTGATAGAGTTAATCTTAATGATGAAACCGTTCAGGAGAAAGAAATCGAACTACACAAGGTGCAAATGAATCTCAGTTGAAAACAGTGATATCGATTAACTTAATATATCACTAACTCCCACTGTACTCCACTTTTAAGGCGAAAATGCTATACCAACAAGGAATAGAATCGGAACGAAATGGCAACTGTGATGCTGGTATGCTATTTTAACAAAATTTTCCAAGCTAAAATAAGACGTATCTCTGAATGATCGTTAACAGCTACAGAGAAAGTAAAAAGGGAGATACAGCTGGAAGAGTTAGTGCAATAAGTATGATCATTGATCTAATTTTACGTCCATAGCTGTGCATTACTATCGAGAGGCCATAAGATTAAAGCCAGATATCGAAAATTGTTTAGAAATCGAAGAATTCCCCGGAAACCAAGGTTTACTAGCTCTTCTAGATATGTGTAAACGCAATTACTAATACTATTTAATTTTCTTATCAAAGAAATAGAAAATGATGAAAACAACGAAGATGTGTACGATTGTTAATATAACAGAACCATATACTGACTGTATCGTAATACTTTGTTTAGCAACTTCACTTAAAAATTTCATATCTCAGCTTGCATGCTACTAGATATTACCTCGAATGATCTAATCGGAATCGGTAACAATTTTAATCATAATTTTCTGCAGTGAGGAAAATCTTAGTAATATAGTGGAAAGATTTAAGAGTTATACCATGGGTCGAACTTGTGACACCGAAATTGAAACTACGGTAACATTCTTTTGTATTGCATTTGCTTCAAGGTTTATTTATAGGCAGTAATTTTGTTATATAACTCCCACCTGTTCTTCTATCGATTACTGTGATGAAATTAATCGGTTTACATATGCCTTAAGGCGGTACACATTTCAGTTTTGCCAACTGAAATTCTGATGTATATTTTCAAATGGGTGGTATCATCTGAAGTAGATATGAGATCACTAGAACAGCTTTCTATGGTAATTTTATCTATCGATGTAGAGTACATTTGATATTAATGTAATTAATTATTAATACTGTGTGGGACTGTTCCAGGTTAGTCGCGGATTCTACATTTGTGCCCGTGATCCTATCCTATGGCGACTCGCCTGTTATAAGTAAGTAACATTGTTATCACAAATATCTGTCGATGTTTTTCATTGCTGATAAAGAGATAGAAATTTCAGCACCTTCATAATGGATCGTAACGGCATATTGCTTTCGTTTTAGGGTGTATGGTGAATTATCATGTCGGACTATAAAAGATTTTGACGGATGGAGAGAAATGTTCATTACCAAGCCACATCTTCGCTTTGACGGTATTATATTTCTGATTCAATAGTGTAGCAAGAGCACCTTTAAATTTAAATTTTAAGTAACAAAGGTCATAGATATTATTAATTACTTTAACCAATGTCTTTTAGGAATATATATTAGCAAAATGTCATATTTTAGGCCAGGAGAAAAGTCTTTGGACAATTTATATAAGCCTTTCCATCTGGTCAATTGTTACAGATATCTTCGATTTTATAGTGATGGTTAGGCTTGTAATACGTTAGCACGGGTTAACTCTGCCAATATTCGTAACACTATACATACCTAATTAATTACAAAAATTGTGCTTTAAAGAGTTGCACTATATGGTTAGTTTCGTTGTTTTTATTTCAGGTAAAGTCCTGTCGTTAACATCATCAGCGGAACCAACAACTATTATTCCGCAATTTTATCGACGTAAAGCAGCTGGATCATCTACGGCATCACTTGGTTATTACACGCTAACCAACGATACGGTAAGTTTACTTAAATAACATCTTTCCTTTGGTAATACTACAGCAACAGCACTGATTAGATTATATTAAGATCATAAAATGCTGTATAATCTAGTCATAGTAGGTTTGATGATAGCAACTCAGAAATTTTTCTCATTCTAATTAATTATATTAAATTAATTAGAACTTATTAGTAGTTCGCAAAGGAAGATAATATTTATAAATAAGGTTATTTGTATTATTACTACTCTCTAATATTAATGAAGGTATCAATCGTCGTCAACTCTTCGCCAAAACGTCGTTCTAAAATGGATAAACCGCAGTCTCAGACAACTTTTACAATGGTATTGTTCTTCACTAATACTTCATAGATTCAGTATAGGCATTCTACAAGAATTAAATTATGCTTTCATGAAGCGTTTTGTTTTTAATTTGTACTTAGTCATGTATGCTAATTAATTACACTTTGAATTAGATCCTGTAGCATAAGTGCTATTCAGTAATACAAAATAGTCTATTATTAAGCCCTGGCAGCTTCCAATAATATCGGTATGCTTGTATTAAAACGATAGGAATTTACCTTATCGAAACCTCGCAAAAAATTTAATTGGTATTTATCATGGTCTAAATTTTCCTATCAAAGCACAAATCGGTAAGTTGTATGCTTTCACCTGATAATAAAGCATCGATCTTATAACAATATAATCAACATTACTTTTAATCAATCACTCTTCATTCTGTTAGATTTTTAGGGCGTGTAGATACTGGTAACTTCGAAATCAATAAATCTTATACACCGTTGTATTTTTCAAGAGTTAAAAGTTATAGTATCGCTACGAATTCCTTGCTGTCTTAGTAAATATCGAAGTATACGTCGCACGATGGTTTATTGAAAATGTACCATCCATACTAATAAATTTTAGCAATATAACGAGCCTGCTATAGGAAACGCATGTGCAAAGTCAGTACAAAATGTTTACTAAATGCTTATTGCCTCAATCCGAGGATATGTATAAAATAGTTATGTTTCTATCCATATACCAACTGATTAGGAGAGATACAAGTTGGATAATTTTCTTAATAAATAGGAATAAATTTGTTGTTTTAAATATTTTTCGCTATTCGATAGCTATAATTTATGTTATGATTAATTCGTCCTAATGACGATTACAGTGAATCTATTGAACGTTGACAGTACTTTACAGTAAGGATTATTACAAATCCTTCGACTTCCTTTGCCACGGAATATGTAGAAAAAATTTCTGCAAATAATTGAGCATCGAATACCACCATTGATCACTGAAACATTTCAATCCAAGTACAGTGTATTCCTATCTTTGATACTTAATTATCCATTAGCACTATCTAAGCATGTAATGCGATCTTTTTACACGTAATCCGCTAATTTCTTTAGTTCTTTTTCTACCAATTCTACGAAAGCAGGAAAATTTTCATCCAGTAATAGATTTTTTATGTATACTTTTATGAGTTCCGTTCCATCTGTATTAATTAGATGCGAAAGGTCATCATTATCAGCCGCAGTGCAATGAAGTAAGTTTGCTATCATATCTTTGATTGCAGGAAAATTGGAACGATCGACAGAAGTGACTTGATCTCTACAGTTATTATTACTGGATTGCTGAGTTTGTGAGACATTGACGTTGTTTGTTGCAGGCAATCCTGCGAGATAATCGAATAGAGTATAGTTATTTCTATCAATAAATTTATTATTACATTGCATTAACGGTAATGAAGCTGATCTATCGTTAAAGCTGTGATCCTGGACGGAGTTGATTGTAATATAATCGGACACGAGTGAAATAAATTCTTGGCAACAGTTTTCTCCAGATTTTCCATCTACTATGTCGCCTTTGAACTGAATTTGGAATTGTTTTAATGATTTATTCTACAGTCGATAAAATACACATATAACACCGTTAATCATATTAATAGTTGTCAAATGCATTAAAATGACGATCTACGAGTATCATTGAATTCAAATTCGAGTATTCAAAATTTCGTTATTAGTGGATTTTGGTAACTGTATTTCATATTCACGGTAACTATCGTATTCTTTGTAGAGCAGGTCCACCAATACCTAGCTCCATACTACAATCATTACAATACCTATATTGTAACGATATTTTAAGCAAACGACGTTGCAATCTGCTGTGCAGTATAGCAAGATGTTACTTACACGTTTGGTTTCTAACAAGGCAATGCTATCATTCAGTACAATTCCATTTAGAGTTAAGTTCTGATCATAGAGAAAATAGCTCTCCTAAATATGTTTATTAGAATGTGTCCATGGAAGTTATTCCGTTAAATAAATTATTTAGGTAATGCTTGAATCAAATCAAAATCAAGAAGAAATTTATGAATTAATTTGCTATCTAGTAGTGTACACTAGCGTCTTCTCCTAATAATAATTCTAATATCTGTTGATACTGTACGTGTTTACCAAGGTCGTTGTTTTATTCGTGATTAGTAAGTGAACTTGATTGACCAGAGTTAAAGATAGTGTGCCATCTTCACCTGAATTGAAAACCTTCAGTGTCGTAGTCAATGTAATAAGATTACACAATATACGAGTTGGAGATTTAGAAAATCATTCATAATAGGATGCTTAGCAACTACTGTACGAATTAAGCTTACCTCCCAATTGCCGTCGAGAATGCCGGAATGTACTTGATTATTGGATTTTCTTTTGCCGCTTTTATTACTTGCAGAAAGTCTTGAAATTGGACGGATATAGCTATTAAGCAGGAAGTGCTGAACAAATTGGAAAGTCGCCATAGCGAATTGTTGATTGAGATGTTACAACGAGAACGGTCGCGGAGGCCTGACACAAATAGCAAGAAACGGGCTATGATTTCTCTTTTGAAGAGAATATCCACCAGTGGTGCGTCAACACCAATATTGCGACAGCCGACGACGAAGGAGTGACTCCTGCAGGTTGTAACCGGGTATACTTGACCCTTTCCTTACCTTTCCTATGATATAGCAAAGTTGATATTTGTTATACAACAACCCACTGGCAGATATTGGCTAAGTTTGCTAGGTCATATATCTCCAAAGGTGACATTCAAAGAGTGACACGAAAACCAGACATGCTTGACGCTTTTTATTATTTTATCATTTCATCAAACAAGCATATCTTGACAGGTCAGGCTGAGGAGTGACGGCTTATATCAGATACGCTTGACGCCTGTTACCTTGCATTTCAGTCATCTAGAATATCTTGACAGGTCAGGTCGAGGAGTGACGGCTTATATCAGATACGCTTGACGCCTGTTATCTTGCATTTCAGTCATCTAGAATATCTTGACAGGTCAAGCTGTGGAGTGACGCATAATATCAGATACACTTGACGCCTGTTATCTTGCATTTCATCCATCTAGAATATCTTGACAGGTCAGGCTGAGGAGTGACGCCTATTATACTGTAATTATCTTGCATTTCATCAAGCAAAGAATACGTTGACAGGTCAGGCGGAGGAGTGACGCATGATATCAGATACAGTACGCTTGACGCCTTGTTATCTTGCATTTCATCCATCTAGAATATCTTGACAGGTCAGGCTGAGGAGTGACGCATGATATCAGATACACTTGACGCCTATTACCTTGCATTTCATCAAGCAACAATACCTCGACAGGTCAGGCGGAGGAGTGACGCCTGTTATCTTGCTGTTTAACAAGTAACAATTTACAGGAAGACATCAACATGATGCTGCTCTTGCCTATATCCTTCTTTCATGTAAGCATCGATTTTTTTAATTAAATACTTTAAACTTGTACAAATCCTGAATGATAACTTCTACAGTAAATGCAGTAGGCTGATCGATTATCACATATTGATGATTCTATCGGATCAGCGATATTTAGAAGATACCAAGCGCAGTAATCCATAATTCACTGACTGTCAGAAGGTAAAAGATACGGTAATGTTACAAGAGATGAATGACTTCGAACACTAGATAGTTATTATCATGGCGCCATTAATGCTGGTTATTATTACTAACATCGTTAACATTTGTTTGAAGATTTTTTATTCCCAAACAACCTATACGATCGTGAGTAAAAATCCTTCCGCAAGCATAACACAGCTTTCAATTGGAAGGGGAAATGCTCCATAGACAACAGCATCACCTCGTTATCAAGGTTTATCAATCCACTGCGATCGAGATCCTAGACGATGAGCTTTAAGCTGGAAACAGAAAATGTCCTATCGATAATTTATTGTATTATCTCGTTATCAAGATGGATAAATCCACCGCAATCCGAGATTCTAGACGATGATAGTCATGGTGACGTCCGCAAGAAGACGCATGCAGTATTACAATGTACTGTGGCTAAAGATTCATGGCCGCTATAAGCGGATGTAAATCTTGATGAAATAGATAGCTAGCTTATAAGCACTACATCATTGAAACTGTCTGCACTTCAACGTGCATAAAAATTTACTTTTTAATGATAGATTAAATTGATGCAAAGAAATATCTTGTACAATTACTATTAAAATTGAGAAAAAACGCACAATCAACAAAATTAATTAATAACAGCAAGTTATTGATGATTATAACAAGGTAGACGTAGTTAAGTATATTGTATACAATAACGCTCAAGCATGTACATATATTTTGGGTGCGTTTACTGTATATATTATACATTTACGTATATATTATATATAATATCTAAATCTATATACCGCAACAGTAACGGATATTGGGTGTTAAGATAACTCTTTTCTCTCTACTTAATAAATGAGAAAATAGTCGTAAAAGTAAATTAATTTACTAACTGAACGTAATCCTCATTGGATATTCGTTCATTACAGTAGATAAAGCATGATATCGTTATGAAGGTAACCATAACGACCAATTTTATTTAGCAGCCTTAAATTATAAACAGTACAGAGCTAGAACAATTTAACTGTGAAAAGAAAATGCTGAATCTTTAAAAGACTGTTCTCTTATTCGGCATTTTCGTTCCTTAAGATGGTATTACGTCTTGAGGAAAGAGGTATAACCATAACGAGCAATAGCTTTAAATTATAAACAGTATAGAGCTAGAACAATCTGAGTATCAGGGAGAAAATGCTGAATTAAAAAGACTGTTCCCTTATTCGATATTTTCGTTCCTTAACGTGGTACTATGGCTTAAGGAAAGAGGTATACGCAGTGGTTTAGTTTTAACGATATCTTTCGTTGCTTGATTTTCATGGCTGATATCTGCTCCATGGAAAGAAAATTATTTTTTAAGTCAATATCTATGCATATATGTATACGGCTATATACGTATGTATAGGTAAAATGAATCGAGCAAATAGCAATTGCTTTATCAAAACTTAAATATAAACTAATATTGCAATCGCATTAGAAGCTATCATGTGGTGATACTTCATGTATTCTATATCGATTTTATATTTCCTGTAGACTACATCATCCTAATTGTCGATGATATGAATGCATCTTGTATTGACTATAGTAACAATCATCGATGAATTTACTTTAATGAAGACATTTCTAAATACTTGTATAAAATATTTCTATAAACTCCTTTTAAGGTTAAAACTCGAGTACGGCCAAATAATCAGATATAAAGAACATTTTTACGTAAGCAGGAAATTAGCTACATAACTAAAATAAACTGCAAGTGTAAGCAATGACAATCGATACCGTCTTTGCTGACAATAACCCTGTCAGGTAATTAATTAGCACACGTACATAATCAATAGATGCATATTTTTTATCTAGTTTACCTGCTAAAACACCTCGAGTTTCAGGTTTACTATTTTCTTGGGCAGTCTTTTGCTTACTTCTGGTCCTAAAAATGTTATTAAATCATCTTTATTATCCCTTTTATTCTAAAAATTAATTCAAGTATTATCAAATAACTCACTGAAGGACAGATTTTTCTTTCAGAGATGTAGTTAATTTCCTATTTGTATCTTCTAACATCTTGATTTTAGCTTCGAGCTGATAGAATTTTGTATTACTTGCAAGAGAGTTTTCAGTTTCACGCGCTTTATCATTTAATTGGACTAGATTAAAGTAAAAAGGGAGTTTAAGAAACCAGTAATCAAGGAAATAACAGTAATACATTCCACAACTTACTAGTTCCATTGTGATGCTCTTCTTTCATCCTACGAATTTCGCTACGGCATTTTTTCAGTTTAGCTTCTTTATAATCGATAAGCTCTTGAGCATCTCTTATTCTATCGTATTACAAATAATTTTGATGATTAACAGATCATTTATAATTTACTATCTGTATAAAAGGTATAACAAATATAGCCAATTCTATTAATTATTCATACAGCTAAAGTTTGGAAAAAAGACAATAGAAATTTCGTTATAGCGATATTGAATTATACTTACGATTTTTCTAAACCAGCTCTTTCCTTTTCTAATTTAGCAATTTGGCCGACCATAGCAGTATTATTTTCCTAATTATTAATTTATATATGAAAATTGCGCCATCAATATTTCAGTTACTGTCTAGTAGTATGTAATGATTGACAATCATTAAATTAATTATCATCGTCTCTGATTGATGATGCATGCGTATATAGTAGTTATTACCTTTAATTGGGTAATTTCCTTTTGACTTGAGGAAACAGAGTCGGTTACCTTCGATAATTTGTCTTTAAGTTCGTTTACTTCATTTCGATTGTCTTGCAATTCCTCTATAAAAATATAAAAATGAATACAATAATTATTATCATATATAGTAACTATTGTCATGTAATTAAATTCACCACTTGACCAGACTTGATGTACAATATTGTAAATACAACATTTACCCTCTTGTTCATCAATAATTTTTTCCAGTTCTTTCATATGCCTACGATAATATTGTGCCTCATCATCAGCATGTTGCAATTTTGTCTAAATAAAGAAATAAATATATTTAAATTAGATCCACCTAATCAATCAATTACTAATATGATATATTAAATCATAAAACAAGTTAAAACTAACTTTCAAATTTTGCTGTTGATGATCAGTTTCTAGTTCCTTGTCTTTAATGACATCTTCTAATTTAGCTTGAATAGCCTGCAGAGCCTTATTTTCTTCCAATAATGCATCAAGTTCTTCTATAATAGTTATAATACACATATATATACATTAAATACAAAGAGAAGCCTTTTACGGAAAAAGAACTTTATTAATCAACCAATTAAGCATCGGTAAGGAAGATATTATACAGAACTTAAACTTAATCGCTAAATATTACACAAACCTAATTTAGCGTTGACTTCTTTCTTTAGAGAATTATTCTCAGCTACTACATTCGCATAATTACCATTAACGCATTCCACTTCCTCCTAAAATTAATATATATATATATATGCGGTATATATTTATACAACTAAACACTCGCTATTTGAACTTCAAAAGAATTAATAAAATTAATTACACTACACTTACACGAAGTGCTGCTATTTGGTCTTTAAGTTGTCCAACAATTACGTTATAATTTTCTTCCAATTTTTGGGTACGAACTTTATGTTCTTTAAGTTCAGCTAAGTTGTGACGTTAATAAAAGAGATATATTCAAATCTACTAATAGATCAATTTTTATTATTAAATGGTCTAGATGTAGCCAAACCTTTCAATGATTCTTCATTTTCGTTTAATGCTGCCAGTTCTTGCTGACGACGACTGATTGTTTCCTCCTAATCATATCGTAAATACAATAAAATTAAAATAATTAATTAATGATATTATCAAATCATATCAAAGAAATGTAGCCTAATCATCCAATAATAATAAAAATTAATTAAAATTG